GTTTTTTTGGGGGGGGGGGGGAGGAGGGACGGGACACAACACCCAAAGTCATTTCATGCTATTGTGGTCTTATCTGTCATTGCTGTTTTTCAGCCCAGTGTTGCATTTTAACAGGGATGAGTAACCCACATGTGGATAAGGCTGGTTTAGACTCATGTGCAGTATGTTTCCTTGGAGTCCCTTTTCCCTGCGACTCTACAGTGTTAGACGTTTCTCTTCTAAAAGTTCTATTTTCTTTGGCCTTTCTCTGAATATAATCTTTTTAGGTCAGGGTTTATTTTCTGTGGGACCCTTAGTATACTTGTGGGACCTATAAAGCCATAAATTCGTGTTACAGTGCAGCATGGATGTCTTGGCAGTAAGACCAGCAGCGGAGATAGTAGTCTGTTTAAAATTGGAAACCTGTTGCCTCGATATACTTGGTTTGAGCCATCTGGAGATGTGATTTGACTGTCCCATTGGTTCTCGTGTGGAGGAAGGAGCCAAGATCTTTGGTTGCTTGATGGACATTGAGAGACAGCTGAGAGATTAAACCTGCCTTTGACAGAGCATTCCAGCTCCCTGTGCTGTTAGGAAACTATACGCTCGGTACATCACCAGTTCGCATCAGAAGCAAGACTGTCATAAAGAGTGTGTATCTCATGGTGTGGGCTGAAGGCAGACACTGATCAGGTGTGTCAGTGACAGCAGTCCTGCTCTTCCTCCCCTTCTTTTCCCTCACCCCTTACTTCTTGGTCCTACAAATACCCTTTCATAAGATTTTCTTTTTCCTCTTCCTTAGAGAGAAAAATCTACATCTGTCTCGTGCCCACTGTGTCACACCTCTGATTTGGCAGTGCACATGTTAACACCGGTGCTGTTTTCTTTCTGTGACAACCTTAAATGCAAACTCTCCTCTGTGTTCTGGTATAAAAAATTACAGCATTTCCTCATCTGCAGGATTTAGCAAAAAGTACAGCCTGTTTTTGCAGTGCTGGAAACTTCCCTCAGTCCTCCTGAAGTGACTCGCTGTCCAGGTGTGCCTTGCCCCTGTCACATCCTCCACATCTCAGAGGTGTGGTTTACTTTGTTGTCAGATGGAGGGGCTTGTTTGTCTACAACAGAAGCTGTGGCACTGCAGCTCTTCTCGGAAGCTTCATCAATAATGCAGGTAGAAACATGTAGAGAGTTAAAATTGAAAGAGGCTTAGCTAATTACCTTTGTCATTTACCAGATTTGGGTAAAAGATTATAATATAAGTCAATAAAAATTATATTCTTGGCAGGTGCCCTATAAAGTGTGAGCTGCTTTGCAGCATGTGGGCAGGGGGAAACCTGGGCTGCCCAAAGCCTCTGTTCAGCAGAGGAACTAAGCAGCAGGTTTTTTTTACTTGAAATGCATGATAGAACAGCTTTAATGTGTGAAACAGCTCTCCTGTATGCATGAAAAACTAGATAAAAATGATGAGCTTTATGATGATGTTACATCTTTCCAAAGGGGAGCACAGGAGGAATTTGGATGTGGAGTAGATGATATGGCCCCAAATACTACTCTGTCCCTGTGTACTTCTCCACCCCCCGCCCCCAGCCACACCCCGCTCCTTGCACTCCTTTCTGGGATGCTGCTTATACTCATTTTCCCCAGTCCACAGTCCTGCCTCTGTCCCACAGCATAGCCTGGTCTATTTATATTACAGATCTATTTATATTGTTTCAGGATAACTTTCATCATTGTTCCAAGTGCATCTGGAAAGAGAGACGGAGGCTTGCCATGTAGCTGCAGACATTAGGAAACAGGGGAAAAAAATACTTCATCCTCTGCAAATGTGTTTTTCCCCTCTTGGCCTGTGAGGCTGGTGCTTCTTTTAACTTCAACCAAATGTCAAATAAAGGGGGACTGCTTGAAAAGAAATTGTCTTTAATTTGTGGAGTTTCTTGTAAACAAGAATCAACTTCTCAGTTCCCCTTTGCTTCCTGCTTATGTTTTCTTCCTGCGCTGGTCAGGGAGAACTTCCCCTTATCTCTCTGCTCTAAAGACATCATCTGTCAAGCCTTTTTCCTTCCTACTCTAGCCTTGCAACGCAGGTCTGGTGGTGTCTTATCTCTCTGTTTTCTGTGTTAGCCTTTTCTGTCTCTTAGCAAGCAAAGGAAACAACATTTTGAAGGTGTGACTCTCTTCAGCAGGGCCAGCGATATAGCTTGTAAGTCAGACTTCTTGTGATATGAGCACAAAGCCACTCATCGGAGGAGTGTTTTTAGAAGTTGGCATTAGGGCAGATCTTGAAAAACTTAGTTTCAGGGCCTCCTTCCTGGATTATTAGAAAACTGCTACCCTTGATTAAAACACAGCACTTGTATTTTTATGTGAATGTGTGTTCTGGGGCAAGCTATTAGTTTCAAACTGTGGGTTTTAATGAGACATTTGTCCCCAAATGTCTTCTGGAGTAGCTGTCTCTGATTCCACAATGCCATATTGCAGAGAAGACACTCATTGCCATGAAATGTAGGTAGCCATGGAGTGGAAATCTGTAGCACCTCAGCAGTGACCTGGGGATTTGGCCAGTGATATGCTGAAATGCAGCACGTGGATTTGAATGGTCACGTAGCCTTAGCCCTCGTGGTGTGTGAGGCAAGGTTCGTCAGGAGAAACCACACTGCAAGCATGTTTCTGGCCCACCTAACAGGCTTGAAACAGAAAGGGATAATCTTAAATTGCAAGATAAGAATGCTGCTCTGAGATTAGTTTTACTTTTAGATAAAGGTTTTTAATTTTCTAATGCTTCCCACCTAAAAAACCCCTATTTGCCAGTGGAAGTGGGAACTGCTATGTGGAGCACTGAAAGCTGCTGACAGTATGTTTCCTTTCCTTAAATTTCACTGATCCCCAGGGGTGCTGCTGAAGTGGATGATTTGGGAGAGGAGCACGAGGAGAAGCGTCTAAAAGCAAGGGAAGAAGATATCAAAGAATAACCTTATAGGACAGAGGGAGAGAGAGAAAACTTTGATTTCCAGAACACAGAGAGGTTAACTAGGAGACAGAATTGTAGTATGTTGTTAAAAACAGAGCAGTCGTAGTACCCAGGCTTCTCTTCTGTAAGTATTTCATTGCTTTCTCTTGAGGACCAGAACTGAACTAGTGTGTGCACTAACTGCTATTCCCTCAATTCAGATTTATTGGTTGCTTTGATCCAAGAATTCAGCAGACTCAGAAGTTTTATTCCTTGTGCTTGACTGTTCCCAAGGCTGCCAGTGGTTCCAACTTTATTGCAAGTTTCACAATATTTGATATTTTCCGTAAAAGTTCAGCTTCAGAGTTCTAAGATTACAAGAAAATCCTTATTTAAAATTGTTCCTACACTTCAAAGTTGGAAGCAGGGAACTGGTGAAAGCATAAACATTACATTTGAAACAGAAAAACCAAAAAGGCAAGTAACTGCACTTTTTCATATTATTCTTAATCTGTTCTAATTATTTGCTGAGGGTTTGACTCATGATTTATTTGCTGTTTGATACTGACAATTGACATGCTCAGTGCTGTTTTTTGTTGGGGTGTTTTTTTGTGACCACCCAGAATCTCCTTATCCGCTCTGTAAAAAGAGGCTTCCAGTGTCATTGACCAGATGTTTCTTACATACACTGACTTTTTTGCATAGTGTCAAAGTGTTTGATGCTTCAGCCAGCAGGGCAGTGTCAGGGTCAGAGATAATGTTGTGTACACTGTTCAGCCTCAGGGTTTTTTGGTTTGTGGGTTGTTTTTTTGTTGTTGTTGGTTTTTTTTTTTTTTCCAGTGGGCACTACCTGACCCCTACTACTCCTGTTCATGTTGAATTAAAAACATTAAGATATTCAGAGTACTCCCTGGGAGAAGAAGGTTGTGTGGATGTTTGTTATTAACCAAGCAAATCGATACAACAGAAATAGTGAGTGTCTGGAGCAGTGTGTTGTGTGGCACCTCTCGGTGTTCAGACAGTGAGGAAAAACTATTACTCCAAGTAGTCACGGCAAATAAACAGGAGTAGAAAGATGTGTTGTTAGAAATGGAAATATGGCCTGTGCCAGGTATGCATCTGGGGAGCCAAACAGCTCCTCCTTCAAAATCCTCTTGATTTCAAGTTTTGTTTTTTGGCAGTTTATCCTTGTGACTTTTGTCCCTTTCCCTCACCTCTTCTTCACATCATGTTTTAACAGATCTGGTGGCTGGATCCAGAACTGACGTATGGCAATGCCAAGCCATTTGTCTTTACGCAGGGCCACTCAGTGTGTAACCGATCTTTCTTCCCCTGCTTTGACACACCAGCAGTGAAGTGTACCTATTCAGCTACTGTTAAGGTGAGTGACCAGGTGGATATAAATGGTTCATGAACCACTTAGCTGCTGTTAACTTGTGAAAGTGTAGTTACATTGTGTGTGGATATATGATATAAAATATTCATTGTGACCATGTTATAAAAAATACGGGATTTTTTTAGATCCTGGGTCTTGGAACAGAATTGGTGTACTGCCACAAAGGCAACTCTGTTGCCTATCACGCTTGGGTCTTGCCTTCCCCGTAGTCAACGCTTAAAGAGTAGCCATGAAATGGACAACCTGAAAGAGAGAATTTGGCTGGTCACTTCAAGTAGTGGTTATTGATGATAATACTCAACTGTATTTTATCAGTTCTTGAAAGGAAAAAACCAAAGCTTTATGAAAGCAGCATCAAATAACGTTGCATTTTGTGTAGATGAAATAATTTGATACGTGGGCACTTTTGGGGGAGCGGGCATAAGAACCCGTGCAATATAGGAGGATTAATATTTTTGGTTGGTATGTTTTCATGGGCTGGGTAGGTTGTGGTATAAAAAGCCCACAGAAATCTTACATTTTGTGTTATCTAAATGGTTCTTTTCAATGTACACCCTCTTAGGCATAGATGAAAAAAAACAGAGATCTGTGGTGTAGTCATTCAGCTGTGATCATCTAGAGACTTGATATGTATGATGTTGGTCTTCCAGGCTCCAGCTGGCATACAGGTGCTGATGAGTGCCACCCAAAGTACCTACTTAGAAGAGGAAAGTGTATATCAATTTTACATGGAATATCCAGTTCCTGCCTACCTAGTGGCCCTGGTGGCAGGAGACCTTATACATGCAGATATAGGTCCAAGGTAAGATTTGCAGTGAGTTGATCTGCTTTTTGTGTCTCCTTGCAGTGCTTCAACTTATAAATGATAAATACTTTGAGTCATGGATAAGGGAACAGTGGGGATCATGAGCTGTGAGTGTTCAGAGTTCTAAATTTAAGTTGGCTTTAAAGAACTCCATGGCGCTGCACTGGCAAAGTTACTTTCCTCTTTCATAAATGTTGTCCCCTGTAGTCATTACAGCTACTTGCCTCCTTGCCTTAAGGCAATTTAAGGGATCTTTGATTATCTTTTGCCATGTATCTATTGAGTGCTAGCCTAAAGAAGGCCTGAGTCTGATGTGAGACCTCTTACTGCTATTACCATACATGGAAGTGTGGTGAGAAGTCACGCTATTTTTTCTAAGAGATAATTTAGTTTACTGAAGTATCACCTGATGTTTTCTGTTTTCTGACAGGAGCAGAGTGTGGGCAGAGCCTTGCCTCCTGCCAACAGCCATCAGCAAGCTTTCTGGCATGGTTGAGCGCTGGTTGACTGCCGCAGAGAGTCTGTATGGCCCATATATATGGGGAAGGTGAGTTTAATAAGTCTCCCAGGACTGTGTAATGGGAACAAAATAAAACAATGCTCCCTACGCTAGCAATAGCTTGACAAATGAGCCTCTCAACTGGTAGCTCTGTAGTAGTTGGAAACAAACTCTGGAGTTTTGTCTCTTCAAGCGTCAGAGAGGACCATGGAGGCACAGTGGTATTTTGCCTGGTATGGTGGGCAGAACTGCAGGTTTCTAAACTGTGGATCTTCCCTGAGGAGTGAAGGTTTTTCATACCGAGGTGTTTTGTTGCAATGTTGGACTTGTTGCAAGTCCAACATTGTGCCAGACACCATTTACAATGTATGGCAGTTTTTTTATCCTATTTATTTTTATGTATGGTACTGGACCTACGATATATTTATTGTGGTATGCCTGAGGATGCTGAACACCTGACTCAGTACAGACTCATTGAAAGTCCTAGTCCCTAAAACCAATGTTAATAGTTTCTGAAGTTAAGCTTGACTATATATTAAAAGAGAACGTATTTGAGAGAATGCTTTCATTCTTTGGATGGGAGAAAATGTTTACAAAGGCTTCCTAGATTTCTTTGATGAAGGTAAGCAGGAAGAACGTGGTGGTGTTATTAACTTACAAAATGTTGCTTGAAATAATCTGAGAACGCAGCCCAGTGTGCCAGTGTTGATCATTGGTGGAGAAATTTAGAAAACAAAACAAAACATATTGTTATGTTCTGAAGCAGACAGACTAGAGTCATTTTGCTGACACTCCAGGTACACCAAATCAGTTAATTAATTTGGTAGCTTCCCAGCCTCTCTCTTTGCTGGGAGCCTCTGGGGACTTGACACTGTGTATGTGGTAGTGTATGTAAACTTAGTGGTTCTGGCTCTCAGATGTGCAACTTGATGAGTTTGCTTGTGTGAAGGGAACATGATGCTTCTGTGAAGTGCTGGATCTGCTATATATGAGAAGACTGTCCAGTCTTTACATCCAAATGTGAGCAAGTCCTTGGCTGGCAGAATAAACTCTGTGATCCTCTGATCTGAAGAATTAGGCACCACTGGTGTAGAAAGTTTGTTCCTGAAGTCAAAAAAAGGTGTCAGAAGAGCCTTCCCTGAAGAAAAAACCCTGTTACTGTGTGTATCTTTTGAAATAGCTGTAATTTACCTATATCCTTTCTTCTCTCTTTTTCCTTCTCTCTCCCTAATTTTAGATATGACATTGTTTTTCTTCCTCCATCCTTCCCTATTGTTGCCATGGAAAACCCATGCCTGACCTTCATTATCTCTTCCATTCTGGAGAGTGATGAGTTTTTGATCATTGACGTCATTCATGAAGTTGCCCACAGCTGGTTTGGAAACGCAGTCACCAATGCTACATGGGAGGAGATGTGGCTGAGTGAGGGGCTAGCCACATACGCGCAGCGCCGGATCACTACTGAGACCTATGGTATAAATGCAGAACTTATGCTATGTCTAACCAATAATTGAGTAGTTGGCTACATAGAATATTTGCCTTGGGAGCTCAAAAGTCTGTAGGGAGCTGGTTTTCTTTTTTTTATTTCTGGAACACACGGCCCCAAACTTTGCGTTGAACATCTTGGATGCTTAGTGTCTGATGTTGTCTTGGCTTTGGGTGGAATCAATACCTGATACAGTAATAGGGGCTTTGAGGTGTGTTAGCACAGTGTTGTAAGGGTGTTTGTAGGAACTTTGGAACTACTGTTGGGTACCAGGCAGGTGTACATATGTCAGAGCAAGGTGAGCAGTGGATGCTTCAGAGAAAGATGTAAGAAATCTTATCATGGTTATATTGTGAAATAACTATCCTCTGAACAAGTGTCTTTCTAATCCTGATCAGTGAGTAGCTACCTACTGTTGGAAAGAATGATGGCAATAGCACTTAGGGTGGGCAAAAGACAAAAGTACACATCTATGTAGCTGTCTGTTCATCTGCTTGAGGCTTCCTGGTGAGTTGTACAGCCCTGCCTTTGCTTAATATCGGTGAATTTCACAGATCAACTGTATGGTACTGTGGCTAGAATATATAAGTAGTGAATCATTCCTCTTGCTTTTCAGTTCAGTTGGATTTTTATTCAAGTAAATAATGGGAACATACGCTTCTCTATAGTTTGTCCTGTTATGTTCTTAAAAGCCTGTACCATGTGTATTCTCATGCATCTGCTATAAAAAATCTTGGAAAAATTCCTGGAAATCTTGGCAGTGCGAATGTTTAGAAGGATGCCTTTTGTTTTTATTCACATATATTGTTTTTGGAGATGAGCTGATGATAATGAAGTTTAGTGAAAGAATTTCTCTGAGCAAAGAATTGCTCTGAGCATATATGGAGATGTTACAATGTATATTATATATCTTTGAAAGCTGTTTTATGTTGAGTAATTCTCAGTGGTCAGGACTATTCTTATAAGTCACGTTATATTATACATGGCAACGATATGAATAGGGTAGAATACATTGACCTCTTCTTTATCTTAGTCTGTCCCTCTGACACAGCACAAGATCCTTGCTGATTTTGGTCTATTCTCTTGACATTTAGAATTGGTTGTTTAAAGAAGCAATTGTTCAGGAAATAAAGAAATTCCATTCTTTAGTAAACACTTTTCACATTCCATTTTGTTTCTAAGACAAACCTCTGATCTAAATCTTCCCATTTCTGACATAATTTCTGGAGTATCTTCGGCTGTTAATAAAAAGGCATCTTTGTAATGACATTGTTTACAGAAATTGGACTCCACTGACTACCACACCTCTTGGATCTTGCTTAATCCTCCTCCCTGTAGCTTGAAGTAATTGACCTTAACACTAGCTATCCTGGTTCATGCCTTCCCCTGTGAAGCACATCTGCCCCTTTCTCTACCAGTACAAGTTCTTCTATCTTCCAAATATATCCTGGTTCTTAATTCTAATTTTGCTTATATCAGATTCCTACATATGTACTGAGATTGTATCTATGTAACAAGCCCTATCATTGAAGTTGAAGACTTAGCAAAGAAAACTAGTGCTAGTAATGCTGGGTGTTAAGTATCTTCTGAATCTGAAAACACATTTTTCCACAGCTTTTTACATCTGAAAGGGCATAGGAATGATTTCTTCTCTTGCCAGTGTAATACAGCTAGCTTGGCTTGGAAGCATGGAATGCTCTACACTGCAGTTAGATCGAAGAGAAAGAGTACCTTACCCAGTTGCAGCTGTAAAAGAAGTCCCTAATGAGTGGAAGGTGAAAATTTTGTGATACAATATGGGTGGGATGCTAGATGAAGCTTAAGCAAGATCTACAGAATCTGTAACATACGAACTAAATCTAATCCTTTTCTATTTTCACCCAAGATGTGCTATTCACTTGGTAACATGAGTATGGAATCATGTGTCTACTATTCTACCAGTGACATTACTTTTTTGTAGCACTTGATTGCTCCTTGAAAGTTACCTGTACAATACTTATTCCAATGTTGCTCTGCTTATCTTGCAAGAGCTGCTAAGATGATCTGAGGGATGTAAACTTTAGCACAGTTTTCATGCTGTTTTGTTCTTGAGTTCAGCCTGCTGTATAATCAGAATGAGTAAATGCGCTGGTTTAGGTTCTGACTTGCATTATAAATTGCAAGGATTTTTTGCACTCAAGTTTCTCTGCCATTACATTACTGTCATTCTGTCTTGCTATTGTTGTGTCTTTTAGACCTTCAGTAGCTTTTATTTTGTACCTGTGCTAGTTCTGCACAGGTCAGATTTTGCTAGTAATTTTCCCACAACTAATACCCTTCTTTTTGGGGTAGGAGCTGCCTTCACATGTTTGGAGACTGCATTCCGCCTTGATGCTCTCCACAGACAGATGAAGCTCCTTGGAGAAGACAACCCGGTCAGCAAGCTTCAGGTTAAACTGGAGCCAGGTATTGCTTTTGGCTGAAACTGCTGTACACAAAATTTCTGTGTATTGATGCTGGAATATAGACCAAAAAGACTGATTTTTACATCTCCTTTATAAAAGAAAGAAAAAAGAAATACTGCTTTGTAAACCAGTCTAGAAGTAAATAAAGCAACTTGGCTTGAAGTTTTCTTCAAAGTTGGCTAACTCATCTTTATAAATATTGTTCTGTTTAAGAATGGAACAGACTTACTGGGTAGAAACAGAGTGTGAAAAACTGCCTTGAAAGCGGTGTGGTTTTGAGCTTCTGAATATGTAAAATAAAGCAGTTTATAATGAAAATATTTGGAAACATCAAATAAAATCCTGTGCTATTAAACGTTCCTCTTTTTATGTGTTCATGTAAGAACTATATATGTATGCATAAGCATACAGATAAATGTATGTACTTGCTCTCCTGTGAGTGAGCTATGCAGGGGCTGTTTGGTTAACCCCTAAGCCACATGCATGTCTGCACTCCAGCATCATGTATCTTCTTCTTTGGTAGTTCTTTAGTTCTGTCATCACCATTGGAGGTGTGAAGCAGTCTTCTTCTAGATGATACTTAAAACAGCCTAAAATGCAAGTGGAGATGATACTGAAGCCAAATGGAATGGAAAAGCATGTGTTGGAAGTCTCAAAAAAGGAACAAGTAGCGATTACCTTATGTTGATACTTTACAAATTTGTGTTGTGGTGATTCCCTGACTTTGGCACTGGAAAAAGAAAAAAAAAAAAAAGGATTTGTCTTAAAATTCTAGGTGTGTTTTCAGTGACTTCTAATTTGAAGTGACTTGTTCCTTTAGGAATTAATACATAACTTACAATCACTGATTCCTGTCCCCTGCCCCCAGCCTGTGCATTTGGACTGCTTCTGTTTAATTTACTGCAGTAAATTAAATGTTCTGACAATAGGCTTGTTTTGTTTCTAAGTCACTGCATCTCCACTCAGTGATCTCTAAGAGGTCTGTATATTTTTTGAAGGGTTGGAAATTAGTGTCCTCATTACAGTGTCTTGTAACGTTGTTGTCTTCTCCTTTCAGGTGTAAATCCTAGTAATTTAATGAACCTCTTCACCTATGAGAAAGGCTACTGCTTTGTTTATTACCTGTCCCAGCTTTGTGGTGACCCAAGACATTTTGACTCCTTCCTAAGAGTGAGTGTGAAATAAGCATGTGTTTCTCTTGAGGTATAGAGCTGCTTTTTTTTTTTTCTTCCCCCCCCCCCCCCCCCCCCCGGTTTTGTCAATGTGGCTAATCGACAGGGGTAAAGTTGAATAGAAGTGTGTCTGAGATGGAAGAATGGCGTGGGCCCATCTGGCATCCTATGTGATTCTTTCTATGTGTGACAGGTTTTTATTGAGACTTCTCTTAAGTGAATGTACTCATGCTCTTCTTTCATCTTAGTTTCTGAGCTTATGAGGTGCCAAATACAGAGTAGTAGTATATTTTTATTACCTCCTGTTCTGTGCTCCAAACAATTAGAAAGCTGTTGCAGCAGAGATTATCTATGACTGGAATGATGTGAATTCATTCACTACTAAATGGTAACAGCTTGTAGTTCTTTTTTTTAGCCAGTGTGACAAAGGGCATGGTTTCCTACATTGGGACAGGTTTAGTGTGTTGGAGGACATTTGCAAAACCCATAGACAATTATGGCAGCTGTTGACTTGTTCTTGAGAAGTGACACAACTCACTGCTTTTTCTTTTTGCTGCATGTGTATTTTCCATTTCCTCTTCCCATGCATCCCCATTCCATCTTTCTTTTATTTATAGTTACGTAACTATGACTTTAGTCCATAATCTGTCAGTGAATAATAGAGTGGCCAACTGTATTCTGACTTTTCACCAGTGTCAAGTACGAGGAAACCTTCCTGCCCTTGATACGTTAATGTATCTGTGATCTGTATCAGAAAAAAACCCCTGTACTCACCTGTCAGTGTATTTGCAGCTACCCAATTTTTTCTTGTTATGGTGCTTTTCTCATCTGCAGTGAGGAGGGAGAATATTTTTCTTGCTCCTTTTTTTTTTTTTAAAAACCTTCCAAATACTTGTTCTCACTCTTCCATGTCTCTCTTTTTTTTTCTTTTTTTTTTTAATTGCATGCAGTGCCTCTACATCGAAAGGAAGCTGTCTTTCTCCTAACCATAATTAATCCTTTTTACTGTTTCAGGCCTACATTGAGAAGTACAAATTTACCAGCGTTGTGGCTCAAGATCTTCTGGATTCCTTCCTGAATTTTTTTCCAGAGCTGAAAGAGCAATGTGTTGAGAGCAAAGCAGGTAGGAAATTTACTTAGTTAACTGTAAACACTGTAGAAAATCTGCATGATAAATTTTGTGCTTGGCTTGGAGGATGCATAAGAAAATGCTAAAGCAAACAAAATCATTTGGCAACAGCCAGATGTTCGTGATAAAACTGTTTGTGGTGATTTATTGTTACTGCCTCCATGTTGGGGAATGAGAACATCTTAAATTGCTGACAATTTTGGCATTAATCAGCTAAGTGGCCCTTAGTTAACTTTCTCATTGACTCATCTTTTGCACTGCAGACAGAATGATTGGTGTATGTGAGATTTCCACATGCTCAAATGCAAGGAAACAGTGACCATGGAAATGTCATCTATTTTAATTACAGGAAGCATGCTTTGAGAACTGTAACTTTTCCCGAGGTCCTATCCATGCATATAAAATCTCTTCCATAATGTTTCACCCTCCCTTATCTCCCCTATTTATAGCTGTTGGTGGATTTATGAAAGGTCTGTAATCTCCCAGGTGCTTATTAGCCCTTTTTCTTAAAGAAATGAGACTAATGTTATCCTGCTATGTGTCCATCCTTGCAAGTAATGACTGAACCTGTTGGTCAGTTTAAACCAGACTGACACTGGAGTACAGCTCTTAAGGATACTAGCTTCCTACAGGCTTTGTGGAAACTTCCTGTGGAGAGATGTAGATGAGTGATCCTACTGTGGGAAAAGCTGCAGCATGAGCTCAGCAGTTACGTAGTTTATTTGCCCCACTGGTTGGCTAATGAGTTAACCACAGCATGGGCTCACTTTTGCCTGAGTAATATTCAGGGGATGCAGGAGGAGGAGTTTTAGGGTAGATGGTGTGGAATGGGAAGTATTGCCAAGGGTTAGGAGAGTGCTAAGGTGTTAAAGTGTCAAGAGGAAGAGCTTTGTTGGAAACCAGGCTCTGCTAGCTCTGCCGCTCGTGGAGAGCTATTTTTGGTTTCAGTTATTCATTATAGAAATAAATTTAAAATTTCTTGTTCTTGCCAGTGGCGGGGAGGGGCTTAGTCAGCCCTCTTATCTCCTTTTTTTTAATGAGGCAGATTTTCCCTGTATTCTCTAGTCTTCCTCAAAATTCTGAGGAGAATTCTGAGTGAGAAATGAACACACAAAAAATCTTGTGTTAGAACATAGTTTGATCACAAATACTTCTTAGCCTGGCTGTCTTAAGAGAACATGTGTTTCTTGTGCTTACTCCCTGTAATGTTGAGCTCTAGAAAACTCAAGGTTAAATTTGGCAGAGGTGTTGCTGGCACTCTTCTAGATGTAGCGTAGGCTAGCTCGATGAGACTGCTAAGACTGTTACGTCACTATAAATATAGGTTGGTCTGATCTGCTATTGTTAGAACCTCTCCTAACTGTGCTAGAACCAGTCCTGAACCTTGAGGCAGCCAAGTCACCTGCAGAGACTCCTGTTTGACACTTTTGGTGCTTCTCATTCCAGGACTGGAGTTTGAACGTTGGCTCAATGCTACAGGACCTCCGTTAGCTGAGCCAGACTTATCTCAGGGATCCAGTCTCACCAGACCAGTGGAGACGCTCTTCAAACTCTGGACCACAGAGCCTCTGGACTCTGTTGCTGCTGCCAGCAGTGTTGACCTCACTAAATGGAGAACGTTCCAAACGGTGCTTTTCTTAGACAGATTGCTAGATGGGTCACCACTGCCACATGGTGAGTACTCTTATCAGGATAGTAGAAAAGTATTCCTGGAAGAATAAATTGAATTCTAGAGAGCCCTGCCCCTTGTTGACCTTATCATTATGTGAGGTCAGGTTGGATGGGGCTTTGAGCAACCTGATCGAGTGAAAGATGTCCCTGCCCATGGCAGGGAGATTGGACTAGATGATCTTCAAAAGTCCTTTCCAACCTAAACCATTCTATAATTCTGTGATTTTTATGACGCATTATTCTCTGATGACCCTCAAACTTGACAAAATAGGTCATAGTTCTTTCTCTGTGTATGTGCTGTCTTCAGAGGTGATAAAAAGGCTTTCGGAATGTTACTCCTCTCAGCTGGACTCCATGAATGCAGAAATCCGTATCCGCTGGTTGCAGATTGTAGTCCGAAATGACTATTATCCAGACCTTTACAAAGTCCGTCGCTTCTTGGAAAACCAGGTACTAACTGCTGGATTAAAATCACTGCACCTCTCAGTGCATGAGACATGTGCATGAGACATGCGACGTGAAAGACCTTGGAACTTCTGCTTCCTGGCCAAGTGTAGACCAGGTGTGTTGCGAAGGGGCTGAGCATGGCTCACCTGCTAGCGGGTGGGGAGGAATGGGCAGAAATTTGAAATGCCTACAGATAATCTCTGCTTGTTTAGCCTAACTCAATACCCTTGTCCCAGCTCTGCCCAGTGCATTTTTTATGTTGCTTTGTAGCAGCCCTGGCTCTTCCAGACCAGAAATTTTCACACTACTAAATCATGTGGTGGTTTGAGTATTTACATTTCAAGCAAGGCTAGTGCTCATTGAATTCCTTTCAGTAGTTTTTATTGTGCAGGAGCAAAAGGTTAATGCATGGTTTGCTACGGCCTCTTCTCATTGGCCTTTTAAAAATAGTTCTGTTATTTGTGGAAGTAGCTCAATCTTAGAGAGCAAATGCTTTTTTTATTATCATTCATAAAAATCTTTGCATTAAACTTTAGAAATAGACTCAGCTATCTTTTGAAGAAATGTGTTGCTTGTCTCCAGTCTGAAGTCATTCAGGGCTGTTGGAACGTAGCTGGAGGAGAGCTGAACTTCTTGACTTTTATTGAAGTGATATTATCCAGTTTTCCTTTTTTGCAGATGTCTCGGATGTACACAATTCCACTTTATGAGGACCTTTGCACTGGCACCCTCAAGTCTTTTGCCTTAGAAATTTTTTACCAGACCCAAAACCAGCTGCACCCCAATTTGCGGAAAACCATCCAACAGATCTTATCACAGGGCTTGAATCCACTTCCTGCCATAGACACTACAGCAGTCACTACAGACACACCAGCAATGGTGCTTGAGGACAAAGTCTCAGAGGCCACAAATGGTGCCATTTCACTCAGGGATGTTAATGTGTCTGCTTAGATCACCAGCTCATGCCAGCCATGAAGCTTGAAAATGGGGACAGGAACAGAGGAAAGATACCAAGTGTCGCCTCCTTTCCCTCAGCCCTGCAGCTGCAGTGTGCTGTTGTAACTGGATTTCTCTCCCAAAACACAAAGCAAATGTGCCTTCAAGTATCCAGCATGTGACACTGCCAGGTTCCAGAGATCTCCTTCAGCTGTGGGATGGATATTTTGATTCAGTTTATACTGGGCAGGGACTCCTGGGCAGTTGCTTCTCCATGGAAAGTAGATAGTTCACTTTCCTGAGGCTCTTCTGGATGGTTTATCCAAGTTTGTTTCTTGGTGGATTGGGTTTTTTTTCCTGTGTGTGTTGGTGTTTTTTTTTTTTTTTTTTGTCTGAGGCCACTGAGGCATGTCCTACTTGCTGTATGTATGTTGCTGGGGGGTGTATATGTGTCAAGCTGCCATTATCCTGATACTTGGGCTAAAGTTCTGCAAAGGAGAGACTCAGGAATTGTCAGCGGCAGCAAACACATTTTCATGTTATGCTCCTTACTGTGACAGAGGTATTGTGATTTGGGAGGTAGGGGACTAATGCTTAAATAATTAAGAAACTAATTTTAAGTAGCTCCTGTTCCCCCCCACCCCCAGCTGGTTAAATAATAATAATGCTTTATATATATATATAAGTGTGTGTATATATATATATATTAAAAAAAAAAGAGCAGGGAAACCTTATGATGGATTTGAAATCCTTCTGTAGTTAACCCTACCCTCAGTTTTCCCTTTGCACTCAATGGGACAAGCAATAAAGAAATGTGTAGGCTCGAATTTTCAAAAAAGTGAAATTTAGGTGCCCAAATGCCATCAATTCTGGTACTAGCTGGATGCCTAAATCTTTTTTGACTGTTTTGACAAGTCTAGCTGCAACCTTTGTTAGCATGTTAGGATATGTAGCACGTGCGTTCGTCAGATGCACTGTGTGTCTTCTATTCTGTCCTTTTGGAAGAATTAACAGGACCTTTAATTTTTTTAAAAGATTCCTATCATATGTTGGGCCTGTAAGTCAACCATGGAGATATCCATGGTAAAATTTTACTGCCTTGAATAATGTCTGCCTGAATAACAGTTGCCCTGTCATATGATAGTCTGAGAGAAGCACTCTCTGTCTTGATGTGAAACTTTTAAGCGCCACTTTACCCAAGTCTGTTTTCTGACTTGCGGTGGTGGTGGTGAGATGCCATTTCATTTACACAGCATGCTATTTCTCTTGATCACTGGCCAGGCATGCAAGATGGGGAAGACATTCTCTTCTACCTGCACCGTTTGGTCTCAGGAAGCTGAGGGCAAGGTATCATTGGGTATTAGAGTACAGGCGATGATTTGTAGACTCTATGCCACATTCTGTTGAACGTGTGGGTAGCTGTGTGACCATCAGTGAGCTCTCAGGAAGCATCTCTGAGCTGATGTGTCACCAGGATAGAGGACTAGTTTGAATAAAAGGTGAAACATTTGGAAGAGGCTCAGCTAAAGGAGATGTGAGAGAGGATTTGTTATATACTTTGGGGCAAATTTTAGCCCTGCTATGGGGATCTGCATAGCACAAGAAGAGGGGAAATTCGGGAGATTTTTTTTTCCACCAAAAGGATCTGTTTACACCCATGTGTGGATGGGGACTTAGGTGCTGTTACTGCATCTGCGTTCTTGCTTTAAATTAATTTGGACTTCACCGTAGCCTTAGCCTGGGCTGAACTGGGATAAAGCAATAATAAACTCAGGCCTCTGTAGTGCTTCATTACTTTACAGAATGGGCCATCAGCATTATTGGGCTTCAGAACTCTAAGCTCTGCTCTTTGCTCCTTGAATGGGACTATCTTTTTTGTTCTGTTTTGTTTTCCCAGAGAGGATGGAGAATGATGTTTTCTGCATAAATCTCTTTCCTTTTTATTTGTTGTTCTATTGGAAGAGATTTGTGCAAGCTGACTTCCCGCTTCCTGAGTTGCTGCTGTTGGTGCTGCCTCTCCTGGACCCCAGTGCCAGCAGCGGCAGCCTGGCCAAGACCAGTAACCACTAGCATCGTTTGGAATCCCAGGCCTCCGTTTTAACACGTTTTATTTTGTGGGAGAATGTATGTGACCCTGGTGGGAATTTTTAATTTACATGGATGCCTTATGATGATTGTCAAATTAAACTAAACTTTGTGACAAGTTTAGCCTTCTCGGCAGTTTTTCAGCGTCCCTGCTGTAGATGTGTGGAAGAGCTAACTCGGTACGTCGTCTTTGTTTTGTCCTTTTCTGGAGTGCAGCATAGAGGGAATTCGGAAGCTATTTAAAAGCTGCACAGCAAAAAGTTAGAGAGGTGGCAAGAGCAAATAATCAAAAGTAAATATCTATTGTTATTGGAACTGACTGAAATACATCAGATCAGCTGTGTGTTTGCATGTACCTGCATCAGAGCAGGGAAATGCTGGCTGAACCTAACAGACTGTTTCGTGGTTAAAGAACATGAGGTCTAAGTTAGTGTTTCTGCTCTTATCTCTGTGAGATCCCATCAGATGGATATTTTCATAAGACTTTGCTGAAACACAGAAGCAGAGCAAGATTTGTTTAAGTATTGCATGTGTCCTTCTTCAGGTACTTTTGCTCCTCCTGCGAGCAAGGAGTGCATTTTTATTTTGAAGAGAAAAAATTGGCAGTAAGTTTGTAGAGATAAGCCTTCCTTTTGTTGACACAAAATAAATTAATGCTTTGGGCTACTTTCTGTCTTCATTTGTAGTACACTTCAGATTGACAGGCAAATTAGACTGAGATTAAATAGAAACTATTTACTTGCCTTATCTTCAGTACATTCATTTCTGATCTGTTAAAATAAGATTAGTACAACAAATCATTTTTATTTAAGCAGATGCCAAGAGATAACCCTATCTCCCTTATTTTGAAAATGAAAGCTATTACTTTGTTTCATTGCGGTCTTCAGCAGGGCGACATGAGATCTAGAAATACCACTTGTGGAAAAGCTCTGAAGAGCCAAACCTTTTAATAAAATGGAATATTACTAACTTAGTTTTTTAGCATTTCATAGCCATGTTGGTTAATACATTAAGTGTAATTCCTGTTACCTACATGCATTAATCTGTTAAGCTTGTATCAGTAATTTTGCTGTCACAATACGTTGCAATATCCTAACTGTACACTCCATTAACCAAGAACAATTCTAGCAAGCATCCCAAACATTTTGATTTAACCCAGATTTTCTTATGTTCTTGCACTGCAGTGACCTTGGCCATTGCCTTTTTCAGATAACACAGGACCTTCTGTACATCTATACTAGGCATATATACTGCATAATTCACTTAGGTCAAGTAAACTTATTCAGTCTGTTTTTCCCATTTGTGTTTGTCCAAAGATAAAATAGCGCAATATAGTCAACATTTAAATCACATGGCACTTGTTTTCACACTTTTTACTATGGATTGATAAAAGCTTAAAGTCATTATGACCACAGTATCAGACTTGGTGTATAAAACAAACCTCAGTAGAAATCATAGTGTGAAATTTATCAAGCCACTATCCTCTGAGACACACAATTATTTTTCTGTTGGGAGGACCCAATTTAAATGACACTGAATTTGTTGAAGCCCCAGGTAAGTTGTTCTAACTTTTAATAACAAACACTCAAAAACTGCCTACCTGATTTCTAGTTTGCATTTGTCTACTTTCAGCTTCCGGTTCTCAAAGCTACTGCTTTGTTTGCGAAACATAAACTGCTTACTATTACTAACCTCTTTCCCATGTAAGTACCTCTTAATTCTTAAAGAAAACAGATTGAGTTGTTTGGTCTCTTGCTGCAAGGAATGTCTTCCACACTTCACATATTGCTTTAGCTCTGGGGTGGAGCATGATGTTTCAGCATCCTTTTAAAATGGAAATTGCACACTGTTTCCCAGAAATGACCTCAAATGCTGCTGCATTCCCCACCAACTTGTAAAATTTTTTATTTATTGTGCATTTATCCTGTTTTTTCATAAATTACAGTAGTAATTTGGGCACCAGTTAGAGCATGTCTTATATGGACATGGCAACCTTTTCTTTTATAGATAAAGGAGTGTAAGAAAAGCTATTCCGTACCCTGGAGGTGACTTTTCACTCTGTATAGAGGGAGACTACCTGGCTGCATTAAATGATTGAGCCTGTGTGAATACTTAGCCTCACTCAGTCTCTTACATGCATGCACCTTCTGCACTGGAAAATTCAAGTCTTATACCTCTGATTTCTTGTCAAGGGAATTAGGATTATGTTGAACATGGCATGCTCTGTGCCCCACAAGGAAGATGTTCTAATATACTAGAGACAAGCCCCTCTCTAAAATTTAAGAAATGGCATTAGTGGGTTTTGCAGAGCGGAAAAGTAAGTATATGTTTGGAAAAGTGGACCCTTTTCCAAAAGAATACTTACTGGGATGCAGGGTCTTAAGGAAGAGTGGGAGGTGATAGGAAAGGATGGGAGATAGGATATTCCTCATGCTGCTGTGATTTGGTGGAAAGCGTCACAGGGATTAAGTCATAATAACTGGTTGACATTCCAGGTCTATGACCCTAGATGTATGACCTAGGGAAGTATCAGATTTGTGCATTGTTTTAATTTTGGTGTCTTGTACCACCTTGTTCTTGTGTACTGTGGTAGCCAGCATGGAAGCTTGGAGCTGTGGTCTACCCCTAGGTGTGCCTGAGGTGATGAGGGAGGTCTTTGTCTAGCAGTGGGAGTCTTCCTCAGGCCAAGCCACTCTGTCTTTCTGGAAGAAGACTGAGTCTGTCTTCCCAGTAGTTGAAGACAGCACTGTGGTACCAGGCTGCTTCTGGTGGGCTGATGAAAACCATCAAAGACTTCTTCCATGCCATGTTCTTCTGGTCATAAACCCCCAAATACCCCCTCCAAAATCTCCCTTAAGCAAAATGACATTCTGTGCTGTTCCTCTAACACAGCTCCGACCACTGTCAGCCTAGTGCTATTGCAGGGATTAAGCCTGTGCCTTCCTAAACCTGGTATCAGGATCCAGAGTTGGAAGAGCTCCCTTGTGCAATTTAAACAACTTCTGGGTGTCAGTTTGGAAAAACAGGCACATTAGGCCCAACCAGCATTGCTGGGATCACTTTTACTTGTCTGCCTGTCCTTGAACCATCTGGAGTTGGAGACAAATGACAAAAGCGAACATGAGGTTGATAAAACCCAAAAACTGGAAAACAATAATGAAAATATCAAATACTACTCTGTCAAAGGATAGTCTTAATTCACGTGGAAATAAGCTGGCTATTTAACTGTATGCAAATTCCTCTTAAATG